AGTCTTTGTAAACTCCAAGGTGGGATTTTCTATGAGCAACTGAGGAGCTCCTGATTGCTGAAGCTATCCACCTGGGTAATTTCTGTTGGGTGTGGCACAATACAATGTTCTGGGAGGTTCCCACTCTCTCTCACATGCTTAGAGTTCTGATGCTGTGATTGGCTAGTTTGACCACCCTTCCGGGCTCAAAAGGAGGCATCCTAGAGGCAGAACTCTCTCTCTGACTGCTGGTTGAGGAAGACGTGCTGCTGAAAGAGACATGTGCTCTGGAAAGAGACAAGTGCTGCTGGGAAAAAGGTGCAAGAGACACGCATTGCTGAGTGAGACACCGAGGGACCAGTACTGCTGGGAAAGAGCCTGTGAGAGACTGTTGGCTGAGGGACGGTGGGCTGGGAGAGAGACTGAGCATTTTTCTTGAACTCGAATTGTAGCCTGTTGCCTCCCTAATAAACCTCATAATCTGTGAGTTCTGTGTGGCCACTGCAGCGAATTATTGAACCCAGGAGACAGGTGGTGGGTGCTTTGGGAGAAGCTGTTGGTGAAAGGGCTGGAGGGAGGCAGCATGTCTGGCCTTGCAGTAATAGGCCTTGGGTTACTGCTGGTAATCCTGCCTTCTCCTTATAGTGTTAGAGAAGGTCAGAACATGTGGCCTCCTTGTCATTTTTGCACATACCTATATATTTAGTTAATTATTCCAATCTGGCTCCCATCCTTCTTTATACACCTTGGTTTTCTACTTAAAAGGCTATTTGACTGTCACTTGTAAGTTCATTCATTCCTAACCTAGGGTTTGGGCTAGTGCTGACCTTAATTAAGAAGACAATATTTAATGACTTCTAGTGCCTATGATCTGATACTCAGTATCAAGTCAACTTCTTTCTTGGTTCAATACTATATTATATTCCGTGTTAACTGCTGTCATTTCTAGACCTAGTCTCTATCTTGTACTCCAATATCTTCTCTGCCTCAGATTCGACTTTGGAGACTGAGTCTCTCTGGTTCATGCCAGTCCCTTCCATGATGCTTGTTTCCTAATGCTTTTTGTGTCCTGACTTGCTGCTACCTGCTGACAGATTGAGAGACTGCCAACATAAACTGACTTAATGGCTCCTCAAGTCCTAAAAAATTGATGCTGTACATTTCCTGTCACCATGTTCCGCCTAACTTTACCATACCCTGTGTTTTACTTCTGGATGCCAACTGCTTCTCTGAAGTGCCACGTGCTTCAATGACCATGTTTCTTCAAATTAAATCAGATTTATCACCCATCTGAAAAATGACCCATTTTGTTATAGGGCTGTGTGATATCACCGTTGTCAGTAAGACAACTAAGTATCTAAGCTGGCTGTACCAAGGTAAAACCCCATCAGTATGTCATCAGATATAGTTTATATCAATTCTTCAAAGGTGAAAGCAAAACCCATCTTTTGCTAACATGCTTCCTGTCCTGTGAGCCCATGCTTGCCCCACTGTTCTTTCTTGAACTTAAAGCACTTAAGACAGTATTCCTTGTTAACCTTTAATCTTGTCCTACCTTGGGACAACACTTAAATTGTTATATAACACTATATGTTTTTGATCTTTTGTTTCCTACTCAATTATTCATTAATTCACACTTCCTAGAGTGAGAAAGGACAGTTCTTAGTAATCTCTGCATCTTCCACATGCCCTTACATACATACATTATATCTAGGTATTTAAATGATGATTCTCCTAAAAGCTTACTGCTGTTGTTGTGTGTGCCATCAAGTCAATCCAACTCATAGTGACCCTATAGAACAGAGTAGAACTGCCCCCATAGGGTGTCCTAGGCTGTAATTTTTATGGGAGCAGACTACCACATCTTTCTCCCATGGAATGGCTAATGCATTTGAACTGTCAAACTTTTGTTTAACAGCTGAGTACTTAAACCACTGTGCAATCAGGAGTCTGTCATAGAAGCTTAGAGGAACTCATATTTAAGTGGCAACTTGTAATCATTTCAGATAAATGGATTATCTTCCTTTTGAAGATTCCCAAGTTTTCTCTTATTGTTGTTATGTGCCGTCAAGTCAAACCCGACTCATAGCAACCCCTCCTTGGGTTTCCGAGGCAGTATCACTACGGAAGTAGGATTGCCCAACCTTCCTTCTGAGGAGTGGCTGGTGGGTTTGAAACCTCCAGCCGTCTGGTTAGCAGGCAAGTGTCTTAGCCACTATGCTACCAGAGCTCCTACCTCTTAGCAAAAAACTACTGGGAGAGGTCATGATAAAAATAATATCCATTTTCAAAGCAAGGGTCAGAAATAGTCCAATAAGATACATAAGACAGCATAGCTAGTCTTAGAGTAGTACCAAATAACAATAACAAAAATCTTTCCTTAACATTTTGTTCTACTACAAATCATGGCTCAGGTCCTAAGGCTACTGGTGAATTGCTTTACATTGGTCACTTGACTTGACCCTACCTCAGAACACTCAAATCTGAAATGCCTACTCTCAGATTAAAAGCAGGGCTCAGATGCTAATCAGATAACAACATAACCCACTTTGAATTTCTCAGGAGATTTGAACAATATAAATGCAAGGTGTTCTTTCATTTTTAACAGTTAGTTAAAGGTAATAATTTCCAGAACTGATTACTCTTTACACTTTCAAAACAAATCAAGAACAATCTATTTGGCTTCTGTCAGTTCTTATTAAACATTTCTGTTCATATTAATGCCATATTCATGAAAAAAATTATGAGCTATTGTTATGGTTTGTGAATTTTCTTTACCTTGGAACAGCAGCATTTTATTAGATTGGTCTAATTGGCCACTTAAAGGATATTAATGTCCAAGTAGGAGTTGGAAGTGCTTTGCTTAATTAACTGGATTCACAAAATATTTTCACTGAATAAAAAAGTCATTCCATAACCTAAACAATGATTAAAATTTCTCATTCACATAAAATTTTTAATATTATGAAACAAAATAAACAAACCCTATCAATTAGCAAAGTTTTCACTAAAAGGCCAGTAGATATCTATTCATCTTTTGCTTCTACTGATTTTATAGCAGTTTCTGAAATTGAACGGCTTGCTTTTTTTAGCTTTAATTTCAGATATTCTGAAAATAACAATTAACAACAGGAAAGGAAAAACTAAAAGATTCTTTACCTCTCCTCTTCTTATGCCCAAAGTAATATCTTCCACAGCGGTAGTCCTCTTGAATAAGCTCCAATAACTCTTACTAAGGTTATATAACACAAGAATGTCTTCACTGGTTCTTCCTTCAAACACCCTTATTTGCTCTTTTTCAACATCTATATCTTTAGAAGTTTTGATTGTGCCTCTGAGGGCAGAGTGACCCCTGGAAAGATAAAGTCAGAGTTAATTCACACATTAGAGATTATACTGGAATAGTTTACAGACACAGAGAGGTCAGAAATCTACATAAACAAAAGATATGGTTTTCAGATCACTGCAAAACAAACAAAATTCTGTTGGTGTCCAGTCAATTCCAACTTCTGGCAAACCCATGTGTTACAAAGTAGAAATGATCTGTGGGCTTTTCTTGACTAAATTTTATGGAAGCAAATTGCGTCTCTTCTGTGGAGTCACTGGGTGAATTCAAATCACCAATCTTTAGGTTAGTAGCCAATTGTAAAACACTTACATGACCCAAGCTCCTTCAGACATCTGCAATGTAATCCTATTCCTACCATCTGATTAGTGATTATAAGTAACAGCTTTCATTCACTAATCTGAAGAGAACATCTATGCTCCTATAAAACCCTGAAATGGATCAACATTAAACTGGAGCTACTTTTCAATTTTATGAATAATAAAGTCAGTCAGACTCTTGTGCTAAAAAGATGCTATCACAAAGTTATTGTAAGGAGAAAACTTGTCTAAGTATTTTAGAAAAGCAATTCAACAGATTATTTATAGATTGTATATGTTGTTGTTGTGTGCCATCATACCATTGAGTCGATTCTGACTCAGTGGCACTGTATAATAGTGTAGAACTTCACCATATGGTTTCCTTCAGATTGTATAGAAAAGTACTTAAATTTTATAGTTATATAGTATACACTGAAGTATATAAAAAAAGATTGTATGACAAGCACATTGTGCAATGCTTGTACATTGTATTCAATAGTATTTGTCCAATGAGGAAAAAATTCACAAAGTTGGTCATTTTTGTCTTCCATATTATTTTCTATCTGTTGCACTTTAACATGCAAATAAATTTTCAGTTTCCCATAAAGTGTAATATGCCAATATTTTAATGATTAAAAAGGTATAGACCATTGAGTTATCCTTGAATCAGCATCAGTTTTCTAGTTTTGAAAATGTAATATGGTTAAGTCATTTATATCATTGGGGAAGTGAGTAAAAGGTCCATAGGAACTCATAATTTTAATATTGCAACATCTTTAAATCTTAATCTATTTTAAAATGAAATAAAATACCCACTGCCAGTCCCCAGTACCCCCAGCTCCTTTACCTGTATTATTTATTTTTCCATATCTGAAATCATCATTTGAAAAATATATAATTTATTCCACATACAGCATAGATGATGAGAAAATATTGGTAGATATATGGGCTTATATACTGTATAATTCCATTTATATATAACTCAAAATTGTGAACAATGTATTAATAGATATAAAAATAAGAATAGTGTTAGCTATACAGTGGTTATTTATAGGAAGAAATCTATGAAAGGGCTTTTGAGGTCCTGGTAGTTTTTCAATCTATTAATCTGAGAAGGGGCTTACATGGATGTGTGCAATTGTGAAAACACAGTGAATTTTATATCTTTCTTATGAATTCTACTTTAAAAAAAAATTAATGTAAAAGAAGGGGAAAAAAATACAAACCAGACCTGTCTCCCTTCCCAGTGGAAGATAATTTTGTTTTGTTTTCTTTTTTTAAATTTTTTTCTGGAGAAAATTGTTTTATTTTGAATGAAATTCTAGTTTTCCATGAGGCATGGCATATAGCTCTAGAACTGTTTCCTTTCCTTCCTCAGCCCTAGAAGTGTATTTCCTGACCCTTACCCTATCTTAGTCTTCAAGAGGTGTTTTCTCACTCAAACTCTGTTCTGTTCTGTTTTCCACATCCATCCACTATTATCCAGATCAGTGGTTCTCTCATTAGAATCATCTGGCATGGTTTATCAATGTAAACTTATTTTCACATCCAGAGCCCATGGTCTTATGGTTCTAGGGTGGGGCCCAAGCACACATATTTGTTTAAACCCAAAGCCATTCTAAAGGTACAGAACGCTTGCCCCAGTTTCTCCTTACAAAAATATAACATAAGGATACATTTTTCAAACTTTTATCACATTTATAGAACTCAGTTATCTTCTAATTGGCAATCATAAAATGATGGCATCTATACTAAAGGCGAAAGTTCCAGATAAGCAGTAGGTGTAGTGGAACATTCCATACCCTTAGCATACCTAATACCCAAAAATAATTGCTGTCCTGAGTGCATGTGACTGTTCTAACTTAGCCAGGGCTGTGGGGGCAAAGAGCAAAGGCTAGCTCCAAATAAAGAGTCAAGAACTCTCAGAAGTCTGCCCTTCTGTCTGGAGTCCAGGCAGGGCTCAGGTATTAGAGGAGATCTGGGTCTCTTAGCAGAAAACCAAAGACCAGCAGCATGACATGCAGGGCAAGAGCACATGTGGTGTATTTGGGAAGAATAGTATCAAGATGGGCTCAGTGGGTCCAGTGCTCATGCCCGCATCATGTGCTGCTCATGGATAGACTACTTAGGTTCAGGGAAGGCAAGAGATCTGTCTCCCTGATACAGGACAGGGATTTTATATTCTCTTCTATGGTTCAACTACAAGAAGTATAAATTTAGTTAGCTTCAAGCAAAAATATAGTAAAACCTGTGGAAGTTGGCATTTCTATAAGGCAGAAATCTGCCAGAAAAATGAAAACACAAATATTTTCTACTAAACTAAGTGACAGAAAAATGGCAAGCCTGTATGTACCCTGTCAAAGGGGAAAACTTGAGAGACAGGGAAAAATAAGACAGTCCCATCAAATCATGACTCTCACAGTTTTTATTATATTTCTTGCATGAAGGAAGTAAGATCAAGCAGAGAAGATTAAGGTATAAATCCTATATAACAACTGTGAATGCGTCTTTGATAGAGAAAGACAGAATGTAGTGGAAACACTGAGAAGGCATCAAACCTAGCTAAGGAGACAGGCAGAGGATGGGAGGAGATACTGGAAGTGAGAGAGGTCAATCCCAGCAGAGAATGCATACTTGGCATGGGGTCCTAGACCAAGGTACACCTATGTGGGGGTTGGGAAAAGATTCCAATAGTTTAACAGAAAATGAAGTGTTAAATTTGGGGAGGGGCAGCCCACCAAGGACCATGCTAAGAATCTTTGACTTCATCTTTTAGGAAATGATTAACTGTCTGGTTACATCTCAATTTTAAAATCAAGATTTAATTTAATATATGTTAGTAGTGACAACATTAAATTAAATTTCATTCAATCTTTCACATTGAGAAACAACAATAAATATTGACTAACAACAACATTTACTCTCTATAAAAATAACATTATTTATAAAATAGGATTTAATTTATATTTACACTCTACCAAATAAAGGCAACACAGAAAAGCTTCGTTCTCTTTAAGGAAAAACACTATCTTTAAAAAAAAAAAAAAAAAACCTAGAGAACTAACCATCTGAAATCTTCCAAAGTGTATTGTCTATTATAGGTTTTTAAATGGATGAAATGTGTGAGGGTCAATCACAGAACAATTTTGTTTGAAAGACACTCTGAATTTTATTCTAAATTCAATCATATTTGGAGATCTATTTATTTGTGAGTTATTTTGACAAATGCAAAAGAATTTCTGCATTTGTATTAAAAAATAGTTGCCTACTTAAGCAGTTGAAAAGGGTATAAGGAAATACATCATGAAAAGACTAAAGAAGAAAAAATCTATAAAGAGGTCATCACATACTTTTAATAATTTACTTTGATAATTTTTAATAGGATTTCCAGTGACATGGTCCTAATTAGTTATTTTTCCATGAAAAATCCATCTCATAAGGAGAATTCAGAATGTTAGAAAGAATGGGTCAATTAAATGAAGGTCATGTAGGTCAAAGATAGGGAAGACATGCCATCGTGGATATAACATGAGAGAGCACACTTCTTTCTTATCCTTTTCAAATGTATTATCTGACAATTTTAGACATCCTTTCAAAGCCACCTTAAATCTTATGTAGAATATTGATAACATATATAATTGCAGATAGAGATATAAATATACAAACATATGCAAAAACATATATACACCATATTATATATGTACATATATACATATCCCCCTTGAGCTACTGATTTTTATTCTTGCCTGACACAGATAAATACATAGTAATAGAAGCAGAAGTGTCTGGCAAAGTTCATGTTGTTACCTTCACTGAATTTCCACACATACCTGCTTCTAGGAGCTAATACTTTTAGCCATAAAAATAAACTGTTACAAAATCAGCCAAATTCACCTTAGATGCTACAATCACAGTACATTGATTGTAATGGAGAGAATAAGCAATTTCAAAATAGAAACTACATTGACATAATTAAATAATTGAAAAGATCATTTCACAGGTGGCACCTTATTATTTGCCTTCTACCTCTTAGTGCTATGATTGACACTAATCAAAAAGAGAGAACCGTTTAATATAGTAACTAATTAGAACTGTGTTTCTTACCTTCAAGGGAGAATGTTCCACTCTCTTCTTTTATCTAAAAGAATCTCTGCCACTCATGTATGAACACTGCAGCACATACCTGGACTGCCTCAGAAGATCCCAGTGCAACAGAAGTCTCAGAAGGAGAAGAATAGTGCCCTGGAAGGCCAACTCCACGAAGATCCAACCCAGGAAGTTCATCTCAAAGGGACTCACATAGGAATCAATGCCGAAGTTGTGAGTGAGGTCATATTTGATCTGATTATAACAGAGTTCTATCAGTCCTTGACCAAGGCAGAATTGAGGAAAGATAGTAAAAACCCACTTGAGGACATCATAAATGTTCTGTAAATTCTGTACAGTGAAAGAAAGAGAAAAGAAGTCAAATTTTTAAATATCTGCTTTTAACAACACATATCAATAACTTCTATTTCTCCTTGGCCAGTCCATGTTCTAGGCCCTCCCTGTTCCAGGCACTTAATTATATTCTCAAAACAGACCAGAATCCCCATCCCTGTCCACAGTCTTTCTTCTCCCTGCACATGTTGAGTGCCATCAATCATCATAGGCTGCTGCTGCTAAAAAAATACATGGTTTCCACCTTTGAGGATTCCTATTTCTCCATATGGCATCAGTTTTTGTTTTTCCCTAATCTGAACCTCAGTTATTTCAAAGCTTCTCTAATTTTCTTAAACCACCTCAATCTCTGAAGAAATCTCCTAATTTTCCAACACTTTCAATCTCCTAATTTTCAAAGAGAAAGAACCTACCAGAAGGGATTTCTTCAGTGTCTTTCTTTCCTCTCTGCTGATTCAGTTTACATATTTCTGGTCTTCTTGCCAGGAGGAGTTTTCCCATGGGCTCTAGAATTCCTCCTCTCTCATCCTCTAAGGCCTCAGGCTACAATCTCTTACATCAACATCCTCTCTACTTGTTCCTTTCCATTAGTAATTTTTCATGCTCAAGACTCTCCTATCCTAAAAATTCTAGTCAATGCTCCCTCATGCCTACATCCTTTCTGTCTACCATACCCTCTCTCTTGTGTGACTTCCAAGCTTACTCAAAGTGCCCTTAGTTTTCTCTTTCTTCACATCATCACCACCTTGACTTCTTAACCAACTGCCATTTCCTCTGAAACTGATTTCATCATACCATCAAAGCTCTCCTTGTTGGAAACTTCAATGAGCTCTTCTGGGAGACTGCCAATTGAATTGTTGTCACCAGTAAGCCCACTTCTTTCCCAGATCTCTTTGAACAGTTACTGAAATCAAACCTCGCCATAATTTACAGTCAGCAAAAATGGAATGTTAAAAAAAAAAGCCAGACTATCAGACTCTTGAAAAAAGTTCATGACTAATGTTTGACTCCTATAAAAAGTTATCTTATAGGGGCACCATGACTGAAAGGAAGCAATGGGCTGATCATGGGACTTGGCTGACATCTTAACCCTGAGAAAAAGAAATGAGGAGTTCAGAGAGAATGATAAAAAGACCCTAACTGAGACAATTGCTGGTTGGTCTCCCTAGAGTGGAAATTCAGCCCATTTGCTTTGATGCTTGCATCTCTTAACTCTCCTTTTCTATTTCTCTGGCCTTGTTTCTCTTGGCATCAGCAATCCAAACTCTCAGTTATGGTGCTGAAACCAAGGAAGGAACAAAGGCCAAACAGGGAAAAAATGGAAAAGCCTGCAAGGGTTTGGACGGGAGAAGAAAAACAATTGCGGTGCAGAGCCCATAAGGAATTCCTTACCGTTACAGACAGCACATCCAACACTGGCTGATTCCTTCTTGGTGACTGACATTCTGTTTTCCTTTCATGGATTTCTGATTTGCCATTCACTGCCATACCTAGCACTAGGCCAGAAATCCTCTCGTTTCGGCCTCTGGGTTTCTGTGCTCCCACCCCCCCAAGCTACTCTGTCTCAGGGACACCTGAAAAGAAGTTTGGTTCCACGTTTTCCCTCAGTGTTAAGTCAAATGATGGGGATGACTTTCTTTTGATCTTAACATCTCTGGAACTCAGATTGTCACCTACCAACTATACTCGCAGTGCCCTGATGATAACACTTTAGATTTTAATGTCCTTCAGGACTTAGATAATTTTTGTCAATGTAGTGGAAAGTGGTTGAAAATTCCTTATGTTCAGGCCTTCTTTACACTCTCCAGTCGTCCTTCTCTCTGTCATTCTTGCTCTACAAACCAGATTCTTATCCTCCATTCTAAACAAGCCCCTGCCAGCTCTGTCCCCACCATGAACCCCCCTTTGACTCAGCTGATCACTCTCTGCCACTTCCTCCAGTGGGCCTCCCTCCTTATAACCTTCCCACTCCTCCTCCAGACCCCACTTCTTCTTCCTCCTTTACCCTCCCCACACTTGTTCTTGGACCACTCAACCCGCAGCCCCTCTCCTTCCTCTTTGAGAAGTAACCAGAGATGGAGGCATTGTCCCAGTTCATGTTCCTTTCTCTATATCTGACCTGTCTCAAATTGAAAAATGCTTCAGTTCCTTTTCAACTGACCTCACTAATTATATCAAAGAATTTGAATATATCACTCAGTCTTGCAATGTCATCTGACATGATATTTTAACCTCTTCCCTCACCCCAGAGGAAAAGTACCATGTCTGGCTGGTCACTCAGGCTCATGCAGATGAACTCCACAGACAAGATGCAGCTCACCCCTGAGGATCTGTAGCTGTCCCTCCAGTCGATCCAAATTGAGACTATCAGATAGATTCCCCCAGTAGGCAAAATCATAGTCATATGCTTACTTGCCTTACTGCAGGACTCAGAAAAGTGGCACACAAAGCAGTCAATTATGAGAAATTTAAAGAAATCACTCTGGGTCCTGAAGAGAATCCAGCCCTGTTCCTTTCCTGCCTAATTGAGACTTTACAGAAGTTTACTACTCTAGAACCCACTTCACAAGAAGGATTCCTACTTCTTAATATGCATTTTATTTCTCAATCTGCCCCTGACATCCAACAGAAACTTCAGAAGTTAGAAATTGGTCCACAAACCCCTCAAAGAGACCTTCTTAATCTTGCCTTTAGGGCCTTTAATAATAGAGATGAGCAATTAAAATTACAAAAAAGAAAACAAGATCAGGCAAAAGCCCAACTTTTAGCCACTGCTTTACAGTAAGACAGCCACCACAGGGAAAACTCACTCTTAAACCCTCCAGGACCATGGAGAGACAATCTTGAGTCTCCCCTGGGTTCATGTTTCAAATGTTGCAAGAAAGGCCATTGGGCCAGATCCTGTCCAAATCTGAGCCCCTCACCTGGAACTTGTCCACCATGTGGAGAGGAAGGGCACTGGAAGTCAGATTGCAATCAGGACCACCAAGGCAAGATTACATCTGCTCCCACAAAACGCCCCTCTGAGTCTGGTTTGGAATTTCCTGATCTTCTTGGCCTTGCTACTGAAGACTGAAGATGCCCAGGCTCCCAACAGGCTCCAACAACTCCCATCTCAACAATGGAGCCATGGATAATTATGACAGTGGCAGATAATACTATATTATTTTTAATAGATACTGGGGCTACTTATTCTGCCCAACCTAAATTTACTGGAACTTTAAATCACTCCTCTATTTCTATTACAGCAGGACAAACTTGTCTGTCGGTTTGTCCTACTGTGGTGACATGTAGACGTGAGTTTTGAGGCTGAGCCTCTGGTGTTTAAAACCCAGTGAGATACACCTGGTACACAGGTAACAGCCCAGCTTATAGACTGAGACAGACTAGGAAGAAGGAAGAGGCCGTCCACTTCTGAAAGAATTGGCCAGGGAAAACCTTACAAGTAGCAAAGAAACACTGTTTGGTACATTACCGCACACCTTTAGGAAGAGTCCGTTTAGGCTAGAAGGCTCTCGAAATAGGACTGGGAAAGAACTGAAACATCTGAGTAAACCCAGCCTTACTCATATGGAAAAGAGAAAGCTTTCGAGGCCTTCATTTGCTGCTGTGGCACCACTCAAATTGAAGAGAAACAGCCGCAGACATCCATTAATCATCAGAACATGGAATGTACGAAGTATGAATCTAGGAAAATTGGAAGTTGTCAAAAAGGAAATGGAATGCATAAAGATTGATATCCTCAGCATTAG